GTCTATTTTAATGGTTTTAATGTTTTCTAAAGTTTTAATATTGTTGTACACTCCACAGAGACCATTGGTAACAGTGCGGCAAAAAAAGATCTTGCAAATAAAATAAATAAATAAATTAGGTTGTCTGTCTTAATTTTTTTTAATGCTTTGAAGCAACTAGGGGAAAAGATTGTGGGGGTGCGTATTCCCACTGTCCAAAACATCACACCCAGCTTAGTATGTCACCAGAATATCACTTACTCTTACTCTCTCCATCTTTTTGAAGATCACATGAAGAAAAAAAATGTTTGAATTGCCCTAGCTTGAAAAAAAACCCCAAAGAAACTAGAAATCTCCAGCAGCAGAAGAAAAACCTCCCCTTTGAAAGGAAAAAAAAAAGCCAGGCTGATACGCATTGGCCTTTGTGCTTCCAAATATATGGCTCATCCACACATACCTAGGCATTTGTCCACTTCCCCCAACATATACTGTACCAGTCTCATGTGATCTAGGCTTAACCTATAGACCAGCCAAACCTCGGGCAGCAAAATTGCTAGTTACAACTCTGGCCAAATGGCTCTTCCATGACAGGCAGTTCCACATTCTGGGTACAGAAGAGGGAGGAAGCTACCTTAGAATGAGTCAGACCTTTATTGCCTCTAGCTCAACACTGTCAACTCTCTCTGGTAGTAGCTCGTAAGGATTTCTGACAGACTTCTTTCGAAGCCCTACCTAGAGATCCGTGGTATACCTTATTAGTCTCCTATCCAAGAGCTAACCAGGCTGGACCTGAGCAAATGAGACTGGACATACCTATAGGTCACCTGAGAATTATTTATGCCGATGACTTTGGCTGCCAATACACTTGTTTTACAATCAATGTCATGGGTTCCCAACTACCAACTCTCATAAAGACCTTTGTCAGTACATTCTGGAGTGAAGTGTATTTCCAATAGGGTTGCCACATATCTGGGTACCAAAAGGAGGACATAGAAAGACAAAAAAGAGGACAAAGGAGGACGTATTGAATGTTTCATTTGAATAGTTCTGGATTAAAACCGCAATCAATACAATTTTATTACAATAGCCGCCAATAAATGTCTGACCAAGAAACAGTCATGTTAAAAAATAAAAATAAATTCAATGGAGGCTTTTTTTCCAAATACCAAAAAATCATTATTTAAACAGCCAGTTGTACCCAAACCCACCCTGGCCTGGCTGTGGGATCCCCTGGCCACTCACACTCTGCACAGGCTCAGAGGCAACCTTGCTAATCTGGATTCCCAAACAAGGCTCCGGCGCAGGCAGGGGGAAAGCGGTGCCGGGCAAAACGAGGCAGACTCCCCTCCCTTGAGGGTCATAAGTTCAAGGCTGGGAAGTGTGGGAGCTGGAGTCCCTGAAAGTGACCTTGAACACATACAGTCGGGGCAATCGCCTTCCCATCAATGTGCTCGAGCGCTGCTTGCTCCTGCCTGGCTCGGTGGGCAGCGCTCTGCTCGCGTTGTCTTTCTGGGCTCCACATGGGCTGGGTGGGCATGTAGGATCACGGAGCAGCAGTGGCAGCGGCCAGAGGAGGCGAGGGCTGTGCTCCAGCAGCAGGTAATGGGGGGCGGATGGGCAGGTGGGGGTGCGGAAAGACAGGGGGGAAGGGGTCCTTCCACCTCTCCCCCTCCCATCCAACATTATAACATAAAATATACAAAGCCTGATATTTTAAAGGTTTTTATCTTTGCCTGCTGGACAGATGACATTAGGCTAAAAAGGAGGACATGTCTTACTTTTGCCTGATGTCTGGCAACCCTAATTTCCAAAGACACTTCCAAAAGTATCTAAGGCATGTATCACTATGGCCTGGTCAGACCTTGTTAAGGCTCACAAACATTTTTCTCTCAACTGTGAGAGGGCAAGTTTTTGAAATTGGTCTCAGAATATTTTTACATTTGGGAGACTCTTTTGTGCAACTGCACAAGAAGAGTGACTGGTGTCTTGCATGTACATTTAAGACCTAGAAGAATATGATGGGACACCAGACTGTCCTATTGTGCTTGGTTCATATGCAGTGATGTCTCGCAAGACAAATGCCTCGTGCTACGGAAAACTCGCAAGATGAAAGCATTTTGCAATTTTTGGTGACTCGCAAGACAAATTTTTCTATGGCCATGCTGCGCAAGACAAATAGGAACACATTAATTAAATTTCTATGCATTCCTATGGGAAACTGCACTTCGCAAGACAAAATTTTCTCAATACAAAATGACTTGCGGAATGAATTATTTTCATCTTCGGAGGCATCACTGTGTTTGTGTGCATGTGTGTGTGCACGTGCGTCCATGCTGACATTCAGAAAGGGGAAAAAAGATCCAGAGACATTCTCTGCAATCTGTGCAAAGCATGATTTTAAAAGTGCTTCCTTTTTCTTTCATTTATTTCCACATGTTCACTGCTGTTTAAACAGAAGTTGGTTTCCAACAGTTGAACGATGACCTTCTTCTTCAATACAGCTTGTCGATGATCAAGGAGACATACTCTTCGGCTATCTTAACAGTCTTTTGAAAACTTTCACAAACTGGTTTCAGTGTCTTCACAACCTCTTCCAGGTAACCTGCAGCTAATTCAACAGGATTGGGGCTGTCCTTCTTAGATGTCTGTCCCCGAATAGCTGCCCTCATGAAATTGGTGAGTGAAAAATTTGTGTTGTTTATTGACTGACTGCGAGGCCTTGCTTCTGTTGACTTTGTCTGGGATGAACCAGGGCTGGGGGTGTATGGAAGTGCTTTAGCAATCTCATCATGGGTCATGAGAAGGTCCCCAACTCGTAGAGCCAGTACTGGTGAGTTTGATAAGTCCCGAATGGCAGACTCTAGTTTTTCTGGCAGATTGCCATGTTTCATCAAGACTGCAGAAATGGGACCACAGATATTTTCAAAAACTCCCTTATATTGGGCATAAATGTCGCGTAAAGTCTTGATTCTTTCATCCACTGAGGGGGTAGGTGTGGCAATCTTGGAATACAACGGAAGGCTGACTTTCTGCTGGATCTCTTTATCCTTAGACTCCACAATCTCCTGCATCTCCCTCAGAGCACTCACCAGAAGCTGGAGGTTCTCTTTGATGCTAAGGTTTTCTCTCACTGTGTTGATAGACAATTCTGTGCCAAGAAACTGGTTGAGCATTCGGAATATGGTGTTCGTAGACGAGACAAATATGTAGACGCAGTCATATAGATTGCGGCTGGCATTACGTATCCTTTCCTTATCCTTCTCTGCACCAAAGAATGAAAGCATTTCCAAAAACAGAGAGAGATGTCACACTGAAAGAGAAAGCAAAGAAAACTCTATGGAATAAAATCAATAAAACTGTTGTAACAGTCACACATCTTCTGAAGTCCCATTAGCAGCAATGATTTTAAAAACCTAGAACAAGATAAAATTTATTCTACATGAACGAAGCATATACAAGACATATTCA